GGTGGTGGTGGTGTTGGTGCTGGTGGTGGTGGTGGTGGTGGTGGTGGTCGTCGTGGTAGTGATGGTTGCTGTCGTCGTTACCGCTGTTAGGACCCAAGATCTAGCATGCGTCTCCGTCGTGCACTACCCTGGAAGCCGTTTCGTGCTAAACCGGAACAGAAAGAAAATTCCCTTCAAAACCCAGCTGCAGCACGCAACTCAACTTGCGGGCAGGTCATTGATCACGAAATCTAGTCTGCAGGGCTAGCGATGTTGAAGCTTTTGACCATCATATTCATGCATCATCAAAGATGTCTCCGTTTGAGGCTTTGCTTTGCACTACGAAGTCATGATGTTGGGTGATGGATGCATGACATTTCGGTGCCACTTGCACGCACTTGTCACAATAGTTTTGCAGCGATTAGCTGCGTCATAGTCTTTAGTTGTAACGCCACAAGACTATGGGTTGTCACGGGACTCTTCCGAATTCGGACTCCTTGAAGATACGGGCAGCAAAAAACGCAACTGCCGGCACCCCGAGGCCTGGCCGATGTCATGGTTGCCAGCAACCTTGCGGGAGCGACCCGTGAGAGACGGGGCACATCCCAGCAAAAGAAGACTTCACTTCAAAGGCTCGAGGCTCGAGGGCTTGGGGCTGAGAGGTTCCGGCAGAGCACTGGCGCTGGTTTCCAAAGGCCTGCGAAAGAGAAATGCCTGTCTCTGTGCGTTCATACCACTATGTACGGGCCGTAGCCTTGTGAAACGAAGGCAGGCTAGGATCCCTAAGACCGGACTCCATGGAGCAAAGCATTCAGGATCTCCATCTCATGACAGAAAGAAGTCCGACATGAGCTGGGGCTGCTGCCAGGACGATTGGTATCGAGCTGTCTACCTCGCGCAAGACCTGTCAACTGGCCGCACCACATAGTTGCCAAATGGACTTCGGCCGGCAGGCTACGAGTTCGAACTCCGTTCTGACACCCTTCGCGAGAAACGGCCCAGCCCGCTCCTTCCCACCTCCTTGACGGCGTTCACCTGCTTGGCTGCCGCCTTGGCATCTGCCTGGGGCCCCACCGGCCACGCCTCAGAAAAAACGCCCCAGACCCCTATACAAAACATGATCTCTGTCTGGGATTTGGTTCGGTCCAAAGCATGTCGGTCCAGAACCACAGCACCGGGCACCCCTTGGAATTCTGGATGGGCTTTGCAAGATCCAACACACAACAATGCAATGCTAACATGACAGAGTGTATCCCAAGCAAGGTACCTACCTTCGTAGATTTGGGAGGGAGAACACACAACATCAGTTAAGTTGCAATCAGTATTGGGTCACAGGCATTGGACATGTCACCACTGACCAGGAGGAATCGCGGCTTGAGCTTGTTGATGTGCTGCACTGCTAGACCTCGCTGGACAAGTTTGGGCCTAGGTGTAAGGGTTCAGGGCTCGGCTGGATTTCGCACAGCTTTCAGCTTGGGGCAATGACCTCGTTCGACAAGGCACTGAAGCTTTGGGTTTTGTGCGAGCTGTTGACTTCTTGTGCTGCCCCAAAGCGCGGCATGCCTTTGAGATCCTGCTGCTGCTGGTCAAAACTGTCAAAACATATACCGATGAAATTGTAACCTCCTTCCGGATCCCGAACTCAAGCTTCCAGCGTCGGCACTCGTCAATGGAGGACTGCTCAACGGAAAGCGGTGGAAAAAACACACACACACACACACAAAAAAAAAAAAAAACACCGGGCGCCAGGCTGAGCATGGCACGCTCCTGTGGGGCCCCGGAGTGAACATCTGCTGTTCCGAGCTTGAGATTTAGGGGAAGAAGGGCTCGTATCTCAGTTAACCGGAGCCTGGGGGGCCTCAGCGATTCCGACCTCTTCAGGTCGAGATGGGGTTGCAGCGTCTGAGACTTATTTGTGGCGTCAAAGTCTTGCAGCTCGTCTGCTTCCAGATTGTGATTTGTTGATGGCTTACTGCATTTTCGTGGGGGGGGTCGCATGGCTGTGCATGGCTCGTTCTTTTGACTCCAAGACTCAGCTTTGCAACAACAACCAATACTGAGTCCCTTTGCTACCTTCGGCTTCAGGTTTCTGACCGCTGGCGATTTCAGCACACCAAGCGGAAGTCTGGAGCTTTGCAGGCTGAAGTTTTGAACCTACCTCCAAACTGAATCGCCGAGGCTCTAAATTTCACGCCGAAAAGACCTCACGCCACATGGCCAACTCTTTCAACCGCGCAACTTTGAAACCCGTCGACCCCAAGAAGCGCGGAAGCCGCAAAGACGACAGGCTTTCGCCTCCTCCCAGGACCTATCGCCATGAAGCATGCCAAGCCTCGGCCCACCCGAAGCCCCAGAGCAGGATTCTCGCAATTTGAGGGGTGTTGCCTCCCTTTCGAACTGTGTATCTACGTCTTCTTCAGCAATGCACACGGAACAGGAACGAGGGTATCTGGCAGCTATCTGTCAAGTCAATCGCCTCTCCCTCCACCGTACTCCGCTGAAGCGTTGAACCACCACCACCACCACCAACAACAACAACAGCAATGGCAACGGGTGCACGGTACATACATTCTTTCTGTGTAAGATCGTGTTCGCCGTCACCATGGACGCAAAACTCATGGCTTCTATAGCTGGCCCTGTAGAACTGGCTCCCTGTGCCCGTGGCTGCGGGTCTGCGATCTGGACGAAAGAGAACGAGCCCTGCCAGTCGCCTTCCTCGCCGGCGCATGAAATGGGCGGGATTAGAGATGCAACTGGCCAAGCAAGAGTAACCTGCGCAACGGGCCGAACGAACCAAAGCACCCGGAGTTGGCAAAACGGTAGGGCAGCTGTTGTGCAGCAGCTGGCGCAAGGTTGCAACTGCAAAACTGCTGGCCGGCGGCTCTCACTGCCCCATTCTAGATCCCGGTTGAAGGGCGATGGTGAGATATCAGTCTGAGGTTCATGTGCTTCTGCAAGGCTCCTTCTCAGGATTGAACATGTAGCAACTCTGCACCAACCCTTGTCACAACCGGCGAGACCTCCGCAAAGCTGAGGCCATCGAAGCATCTGTGGTGTGCCTCCCAGGGTTTAGGGGTTAGGGGTTAGGGTTTAGGGTTTAGGGTTTAGGGTTTAGGGTTTAGGGGTTAGTGTTTAGATTTCGACAAACTCTTTGACTCTTCGACCTTCGAGAGAAGCCACGAAGCCCTGTGCGAAGCTCGGGCCTTGCGGAAGCGGAAGTCGAAGGCCTCCCGCCTTGAACTAGGGAAGCTTCAGGCCATATGGGTAGTTGTCAAAATTATGGTCCCTTTTGGGGTACCCTAAATAATAGGTGCCGTATTATAAGAAGGACCCAAAAAGGGACCATAATTTTGACAACCACCTATATAACCCCAAAATGAGAGGATCCAAAAATCACGGATCCCTAGATGAGATACCCTGACTTTGAAGAAACCGCCAGGGCTGTCTTCCGACAAAATCCGACAGCACCCGAACCACCGAATCCCTAAAGCTTCAAGGCATTCGCTCGCCCAAAGCCCTCAACCTGCAAATGAACCCGGAAACCTGAAAATCTCAACGAGGCCCTTTCAAGCGCTGAGGACACCGAGGTCGGGGCGACTCTTCAAGCCAGGACTCCAAAGACTCGTTGGCCTGGGTTCAGGGTTTAGGGTTTAGGGTTTAGGGTGTGGGTTCCAGAAAGGGAAGGAAAAGTGGAAAAGTCTCTTCTCCTGCCGTTGCCACGAGTCACCAGGCAGCTTCCGCTCCTTTGGGATGTAAGGAAGCGCATTCCCGATGGTCCCTCCCTTAGCAGGACCTTGAAAGGCTTTGTCTACGTATGAAGAGCTGGGGCTTGGAGGGTTCGGTGCCTGAGTTGGAAGATCGGAGAACATGACACTTGGCGATGCTGGTGCTGCTGTTTTCCGTTGTGGATGTGGGGCTAGGCAGGGCTCTACAATTAACATTGGAGAAGTAGTAGGGCAGGGTTTGTGATGCTTCGGGGCTTAAAGGTGCAAGGCTTCGGGCACGGATGGGCTTTTCAAAATGCAAGGAGTCTGCATGTCAAACGAAGCACTGCACATTTTGGCTCGCCGAGAACCAGCTTTCATGCGTCTGCGCGTCTTTGAGTGCCTGGCAGTCGAGTCGCCCAACTTCCGGTCCTCAGAACAGGGCCCTAACTCTCAAGCCCGGAAGTGGGCCAAAGGTGGGCTCACATCGCATGAGCAAGGCAAGACGACAGCTGAAAACAAGCCTTTCGAGAGGAAGTGGTTGAGACGGCCAGACTGAAGTCAGTTGAAGGATGAGGAGCTCGGGCCGTCGCCGCCCTTTACGTTGGTGGCCAGTCGGACCATGAAGAAACATCTCGCTTGCTGTGAGGCCCCCGATTGTCCTCTGCCAGAAGCGCCAGCAAGTCGGCGGCCTGACAGGACCCAGCTTCCATGGAGTTGCGAGCTGCATGGGGCTGGCTTACAACATCTTACACCTGAAGGTGCAAACGATCTGCGGCCAACCGTTCAAGGCTGTAGGAGGATTCGAGCATCGGCACGTTAAGAGATAAGGCCTTGCAGTCTCTCGCTCGCAAATGTGCAAACCAATGCACCAGAGCTGCGTCATTGTGCAGATTTGGGTGGACAGTTGTGGGGAGGTCAGGCAAGTCTAGAGTTTGCGTTTATTCTGGGTGCACCTCCCCTGCACACAGCTTTGGGCAAACCCCAACAGACCCAGCGACCTCGCCAGGCTTTACGCTCTTCGTGAGCGAAGGATTCAACCTCCAGTGCAAAGAACGGTTCGGGTAGGTCAGGGCTCTGAAAGCTGCTGGCCCCCACAGACGAAGGTCTGTGCAGAACTCGAAATCCGTCTCCGTCTGGCGCAGCTTCGGGGACTCTGGTGCCTATTCGATCAGCGGTCCCCTCTGCGAAAGCTCGGCATCCCAGCCCGAACGCCCTCGCGACGACGAAGTGATGCCAAGCGTCGACATGCTCGACCTCTGACATACCGGTGCTCTCTTGTTTCCAGACAGACAGGAGGTCTATGTAACCTGAAAGGGAACCTGGTGGGAGTACATGTTCTTCTGAGTCTTTGGTGGTGCGTGAATCAAATATCTAGGTAGTATATGTATCTCCACAGCAACCCGGAAAGGGGCCCAAAGGCCTACATCAGAGTGAGGGCTGCAGATCAAGAACTCTGCCTGAACCCTCTACACCCCGAACCGTTCAGGGAGGCGCTTTCGTGAAGACAATCTCGCGCACAGGGCAGTTTCCAGCTGGTTTGCAAGGCTTTCTTTGAGGGCCACCTCCGGCTCAGCACCACACTGCTCGTAGATCTCCCGACACAGATGCATCAGGAACCCAAAACAAACACAGCGAGATTTGGCATGGACATGGTTGTTTGAGAGATTGATGACTCGCATCCACAGCTATGGTTTTCCCGCATCATTGGAACCAGGCTTGAGTTGCAGGGCCGCGGCTTCAAACTTCGGCCTAACGCAAAGCCTGCGTGCACCGCCGCACCTGCCCGTCGATCACATCGTCGACCCACTCACGATATAGCATCCAAAGCGAGGGTTCCACCTGGCCCCATCGTGCCGAAGCGCCAAAGCAATCCGACTTGGAAACCTGAGCCCCAAGTGGCCCCAAGCTATCTGCCACTCCTGTATACAGTCAACTCAGTCAACTCCAAAATCTTTCCCAATGAACGCTTCCCTCACCCCATGGTCGTGCATGGACTGAAGTGTCTTTGGCCAGCTGACAATCTCACTTGACAAGAGTCTTGTTCCCAACCGTCTCTATGGCTCTCTGAGCAGGAACATGCTTTGCTTGTAGCGAGGATCCGACGTGACATGGTGCGAACTTATGCGATTGAGTATCGGCTGGTGCTTCGGTGCCTGTAGAGCCTCCGAAATCTCTAAACAACCTACTGGTCCTACCACTGCCAGTTCAGGCCTTGTAAGGTCCGCCCAAACTCCCAAGTCGAAATTCAAATTGGGCAACTTCACCAGCCTTTCGCTGGGAGGCGATGGCCAACTCCAGCCTTGGTCAAAGAACGCCTTCTCAGTCTCCTCGTTCCAGTCCAGGCTGAGACTTCGGCCACTTCTGGTCGGCCACCACCCCCTCCTTCCGCGAGAAATCCTGGTACAGTGGCGGTTGAAACCACGTGAACGAACATGAAGCCCATGAGGTTGAAACAAGTCTAAGACCTAGTGATGCAAGGGCTGTACATGCTATCCCGCCTCTGCCGACAGGTTCGTCAGGTTCAGCAGCTTCAGCTGGCGGTCGAGCCTGGCTCGTGTCTTTGTCAAAATCTGGCCCGAAGCCCAGAATCCACAATGCATCTGTCCTTCACTTCAGACATCCATGTACGGAGTTGGCTGTTGAATGCTCTGGGTGCGCATATCTGCACATATCTGCGGGACGTCGCGCCAAGCCCGGGGCAAGGTCGCACCAGTGAGCTGCGGCGCGGCGGTGTCCTGCGCAGCCTTGGTCTGCTTCTGTGATTTGTGGGCGTCGGGTTGAGGCTCTCGGGCTTGGTTGAAACGGTGGAGCCGGAACTGTCAAACCTGTTTCCTGGAGAGTTGGACTCCTTACGAAGGAAAAACACCACCGCGTTGTCGGTGTGTCTCGCGGCTATGGGATACTTTTCATTGGATGCCATTGGGGCCTCGGCTGCATCGTTCTCGCACAGCCACGATGCCGCCTGCGGAGGTCACCAAGCCAGCCGCTCTTTGCCAGATTGCACGATCTTACGTACGGACACGTGCACAAGCAGAAGAGCAGACTTTAACAATGCCCTTCAAACAATATGAGGCAGGCAGCAGCGGTAGGCCCAGCTGTGGTAGCAGCAGCAGCAGTAGCAGCAGCAGCAGCAGCAGCAGCAGCAGCAGCAGTAGTAGTAGTAGTAGTAGGAGTACTTGTTGTTGTTGTGTTAGTGTAGTAGTAGTAGTAGTAGTAGTAGTAGCAGCAGTAGTGTTAGTGCGTAGTAGTAGTAGTAGTAGCAGCAGCAGCAGTAGTAGTAGTAGTAGTAGTAGTAGGAGTAGTAGTTGTTGTTGTGTGTTAGTGTAGTAGTCGTAGCAGTAGCAGTAGCAGTAGTAGTAGTAGTAGTAGTAGTAGTAGTAGTAGTAGTAGTTAGTAGTAGTAGCAGTAGTAGTAGTAGTAGTAGTAGTAGAAGTAGTAGTAGTAGTAGTAGTAGTAGTAGTGGTAGTAGTGGTAGTGGTAGTAGTGGTATTAGTGGTATTAGTGGAGGAGTAGTTGTTGTTGTCGTAGTAGTAGTAACAGTAGCAGTAGCAGTAGTAGTAGTAGTAGTAGTAGCCGCAGTAGTAGCCGCAGTAGCAGTAGCAGTACATGAAGAAGCCGAGACCCCGCAACTCCGCAAGCCCAGAGCACTGAGCCCCTACA